AGTTAGAAATTATTAAAACTGAAAAACATGCAAGAAAATATACATTTCATATTTCATTTGAATTTTGTTCGGTCAAAGTTAAAATGTAACAATTTCATCACAAAAAAGCATCATACTGAATTTATCAGTCAGTTACACTTACATTCAGCTGCTGAAAGGAAAAATAAAATAATGAATAGATCTACAGTTAGCAAAGTTTACAAACCATCTCTGTCATCCCTAAGAGCTTTTCCACAGGAACAAACAGACTGGTGGGAGTAGCCAGAACGATGATCCAGAATGTGGGTTTTGGACAACAGCATGGGTGTTATTTACAGAAGTTCACAAAGTACCGCTGTCATTGGTGGGGAACCAATAATCTTTCCACAAGAGCAGATTGACTGGGAAGAGTTGGAGCCTAATGCTGCTCCATAATTGAATCCATGACCAGACTTAACCTTAATCTTCCTACATGAGCATTTCGACTGATTCTGATATTGTTGTGGAAATCCTCCAAATTGAGATGTCGTTAAACTTGAACTAAAGGAGAACTCATTTGTCGCTTCCTTTTCTAAACCCTGGAGACAAACAAAAGGCTTGAGGTCTGAGCTGGTAGAGCTGATTGTTACTGTGAGTAAGTTTATTCTCTGGTGCTGCCCGATCCTGCTGAAGAATGATAATGAGTCTGGAAAGCTCCACACAACTTCCACTATTTGTGGTCTGGTCATCTGTGGTTCCACATTTCCACCTGGAGTGTTGATCACTTGTTGGGAAACCTTATAATGCTGTTGGGGCGTTTCAATTTTCTGCATCCCAAAGAATGAATGTTCACTTTGAATCATAACCAAACTATACTCTGTTGTGAGAGAGAAGAGCTGGTTACCTTGGCAGCGTAGGCCATAGATATATCCACCCGTCATACTGGCTGCATAAGTGTCATCACATAAACCGATGGTCCAGTCACAGTCTTTGGAAATACCGATGACCCATCCCTTAAAGTCAGAAACAAGAACTGTACCCTTAATGAGGAACAAGTTGGAAGAACAAAATTTCATCCACTGACTGTGGAAAACCTTCCTGTTGTCAGTGGACAGCGACATGCCAGGACCCAGAG